AATTTCTTCAAAGCAATAAAAACAGTATGTCCTCTCCATCCTTAAACACAGATAATATGTGCAAGACGTGTCAATCCCTACATCTCCCTGATGCATAATGCAATTACTATGGACAGAGACAAAAAATTATGAAAAATGTTTCACAGATAAAGTCCAAAAGTAAAAAAAAACTAGTAATGTTTATCGTTTGTCTATTATTCTTTTTTGACTGGCGGCGATATCTATCTGACACTCGCAGGGTTGCCAAGTCTAACGACGATCACGTCCCGAGGTGGAGGGTGCGAAATGAATCTTTTACATTTGCTGGTTTTGAATTTTTGTCGTGAAAATTTACTAGGTATCATGATTAAAAGCATCTTTGGTAGATTGTTCGATCCGGGATGGGAAAGATTTCCTATTTTTGAAAAAAAATCTAACCGTTGCAATCAGAGCACAAACACTGTGACATATGATTTATAGCATAACCCGCTGCCCTATCAATATAAATTTAACATACAGGTCGCCTAGCCATGGGGATGCAGTGGTCGGGATGAATCTCACGGCAGCAACTGATGATTTGGGCATGTCTGGTAACAACGTATGAAGTGAAACTCGCTAACTTCACAAGTTTGAAGATTTTGTACAATTTCTTTGAAAATGATGAAAGATATATCTGATTTAGCGGGGTAATGTCGCAGCCAAATGGCAGTCACTCTTTCTGACACAGTCTGGATCGAAAGATGACGATACTCGTGAAATGTATTGTTACTTCTAAATATAGGATCGTAACGAACATCCCTACTGTCAAGATGTATAAACCAAGGTACCGACGGAGCTATATTACGGCGTCATGGAAATAATTTTAAATTTTCATTTGCATTTTTTCAAGTGTTGGGCAATGATTTTGGGAAAAATGTCACGAATAGTCTTATAAAGCATAGTAGAGTATATTTCAATAGTTGGCGGAACTTACTCCACTGGGACCAGGAGGGTGAAACGGGATATTAATGCACAATCTGGCAACCCTATCGCACCCTCACAAAATGGTGCTGATAACTACACAAGTCACCGTGTTGTCATTGAATAGCATGGAAGTAAACCTTCAGAGTAGATATATGTTTTGTGACTGGTACCAAGAGTTGACAGATCCCACACACATGTGTCACTCCTTGAAATGCATTAATCAGCTGTATTTAAATAATGTCTAATATAAATATAACCTAGAATGTGTACTCGTGAAAAAAGAAAAATATGGCAAATTTGTAGTTTTTTTTTGCAGGTTTTAGGTTTGCTGGTAGCTCTAGGACATATATTTGGGTATTTCTTAATCGCTGTGAATATATTATGGATGTTTGTTAAGTTCCTGAACAACGAAAAATATTCAACTTTATGGATGTATGGATATTAAAAAACCAGAATGGTTTTGTGGGAATATCAATCTAAGGTGTCATAATGGGTCTGATGAACGGCAAGTAAATGAATGAATGTTTGGAAACGAGCAATATTTATGAACTTTTAGGTAGAGCCAGTCATCAAGTAGGTGATTAATGGCTATCTGCAAGAGGTGTATAGGAAAAAACACCCAGTAGATGATATTGAATCAGTAAAATCGCACATCAATTGAAGAAAATAATATAAGCATGAATAAAACATTAACAATAGTAATTAAATCATGAATTTTATTCAAAAATCAAACATTTGTTTAAATTTTGAGTGAATTATATGTATTTTCTTAATATTCAATAAGCTGCTGATGTTTCAATGACAAGCTGTCATCTCATGCTTTGACAGTATTTTGTTTTCAACATTTCATAGTTATTGGTTGCTCATATTTGTTGATTGGAACTTGAAGCTCATTCGCTGTATTTGACGGGCCGTTAAAATTGGCCCTAAGAGTATCAAGAGCTTTTCTAAAATCTAACAAAATCATGCAATTAGCATTTTTTTGGTCCTCATGCATTCGGACATCGTTTAAAATATTTACCAAGCTTGTAGTTGTACTAAAATTGTCCTCTCACTTGACTGTTTTGTATGTCAACCTGTGACGATAGGCATTGAGAAACTGATTTCACCCAAGAGTGGCGCTAATGAAGCTTAACACAGTTCTTACAAGCACGTCCGCCTTAGTCTTGGAGTCGGTTACAGAAATTCCATCGGTCATGTCGAACCCACCACCGGCATTCATCACGAAAACAAATCTTCTAGATATGTGACTATTTCATTCCCCGCAAGGCCGAAATATAATCTGCGACACTTATTGAGTGGTCCTCATATTCGCAGCTCCCTCGACCGACATGTACACAGTTCCAAAGCCAACGAAACATCGCTTTCTTTCTCTCTCTCTCTGACGTGAGGACTGCTGCATGTCCGGGATTAAAACTGCCAAAATGCTCCAATCAGTCGGAACGGTATGGATTACCGGGAATACCACAGAGCTTGGTTTGATTGCAATTTTTACGTAGTGCGGAGAGGAAGCAGTTTCAAAATGCTGATACGTGGAACTGGCCGATTAGAAAATACGCCGTGCTGGAGAATGGCTGATACGCGGGAGACAGGATTATTATGTAAGTAACATGAAAGAATTTTTAGACCCAATTCTAGGTCAGGGTCCATACCGTCCTGCTCTGAGTATGATTACACCGGTATCATTTAAAAAATAAAAAAATTTTTACAGTAAACTTGGATGCATCGTTTGCCAAATTGAAATGGCGGACAGAGGAGGTCTTTTACTACCCACCCCAGGCCCCGCAAACAGTTTTTAGCCCAACGGAATTAATTATGTAGATAATAGAACAGGTGTAGTACCCCGTTTCACGTGTTCAAAGCACGCACGCAGCGAAGAAAAGCGCTCACAGCGCCCTCCTACCTTCCTCCTCACCGGCCTCAGCCCTATAAGCTTTCATTTCTTGTTCTCGTGCCACACGTTAAACATCGTGTTCGAGGTGCCCAAGCATAATAAACGGTAAAGGAACATGTCCTCATACTAGCAATCGCTGAACACAAATATTAGACAACTGGTGCGAAGGTAATAACAGATACAGGGTGACTTCGAAGTTGAGTCATTTATTTTAACAGTGAGTAGATCTGATCAAAAGAAATGTTTTTTTCCTTTACCATTTTTCTGGTAAAATTAAAGTAACAAAGTTATAGCCCTTTGGAAGTTTGAGTACCGCCCTGTCTCAATAATAATATCATGTACTCGTGTTTGGCAACAACGGATATAATCCGCCTTACCGGTTCATCGCATCGGAAACAAAAAAGCGAAAGAATTTGGAACGATGTTTTTGCAATTAAGTATTTTATTCAGTTCAGTTATACATACAGTCAGTGTCTGTCGGTTAGCGTGTGAATAGTGTCTGTTGCGTGGCTCAAACGAAATAAAAAATGGCACATGTTTATGCGGATCGGTTTCCCAATCGAGTGCAACCAACCTCTCGTGCCTTTGTTAATGTAGTACAACGGGCTCGTGAATCAGGTGACTTAAGACCTCACAGGGGACCTCACGATCAAATACAGGTCCGCACTGAAATACTTGTCGGGAGGATACTTTATAAAACAAGGTAAACATTTTTTTTAATTTTTTTTTATTTTTACACACATATTCTGATTTATCTTCCTTCTACAATCATTATCTGAAAATTAATGACTCAACTTCAAAGACACCCTGTATAAATTAGGTACATCTGTGGTAGACTAGCGTTACATTTTGCTTGTGATAGAAATTCTGCCTGGTTGGTAATAGCTATGGAATAGGACTGTACGTATAAACATGACAGGTTAGGAAACCACCAAAATAGTGATTTTCAGTAATAACGGAGATTAGCTACCATTATGCCTGATTAACGTTACATTTTGTATACGCGGCATTCGAACAGAAGTGCACTCTGGATTGTGATGCCATTAAGCCCATGTGTTTTGCTCCAGTAGATGACGCATCACCACGTTGATGTGACGACCTTAGTGTAATGTTCGGGCGTTGTTCCAGGGCTGAAATTTCGAGGGCAGATCTCGTTGATGACGATGTATGAATATACAGGGAGGCGCATCGAAAACGAAACAGACGCATTTACTGGCATCTCAGTTTTCTTTTTGGAAAAACGCCCAGACCCGTCGATTTTGTTTCCGAAGGGGACACGAGTTTGGCAAAAAATCATGTTAGCACGTGCAGCCCCCTAAGCGGGGGTGACACTACCCCCAAAATCTTAAATGGAAAGGGGGGTCGAGTGATACCTTATTTTAAAGGTCTTTCAATTCCCTTTATAATGATATCAAATTAATGTACTTCAGTTCAGTAGTTTTGAAGATTTATTGACATAAAGCGTAAGGTAGACTTTAATAGGTACACCAGATTAGTTTGTACTACTTTCAGAAGCAATTTGACTAAAAAAATTTACTCAATAAGTAAATGCTTTTCTTCACTACGCCCATGGTTTGTTTATCTTTTTGTGGTTGAAAATAGCTATTGGAGCGTTTTGTTGTGGCAAAAAGCTATTTCTTGAAGAAAGATAAGGAAATATCTCGTAGGGGAGAAGGGGGCAAGTTGTTACGAGGGCAAGTTGTTACATAATTATTTTAAAGCCCAGCAAGTACGACGGGTTGAATGAAAATGTACAAGAGATTGGCTCTGCCGACCCGCCATCTGTACACTAACAGTTATACTCATATGTAGCGTCCTTCATGGTGTTTTCGTGTATAATGTTGTTTCAGTTATAAAACTGTACGGTTGTCTGTTCGCTTTTGTTTCCGTTTGTGAAAAATTGGTAAGTAGTATAAATATATATATTATACTGTTCTGGAGCCTATATTTTTCTCTTTATTTGCATGCCGTTGTCTTTACCTGATTCACAATACTTACCAAAAAACATTGGCCTAACCTCATTTTGTTCATGCGGGGCAAGTTGTTACAATAATTTGGGGGCAGGTTGTTACTGTAACAACTTGCCCCATATATTTTAATACAAGTACTATAATTTTCTATTCCACTAAAATTTACACAATAAAGTTGTTTTTGTTGTTTTCAGGTTCTTGAACACGGTGCGAACGTACAAGAAGAAAACTGCAAGAGGTATTATTCCAATTGAACAATATGAAAGTGCCATGCAGGCCATATTACAAGAAAAATTATCAATTAGAGATGCTGCTACTCGCTACGGGGTTAATTTTATGACGTTACACCGCTATATGAAAAGAAAGTTAGCCCTAAACGTTGAAAACAGAAGCAAGTGCTTAGTTGGCTACGCTGCGCACAGAAAAATATTTAACGATGCCGAAGAACAGGAACTTGCGAAATACATAGTCATGCCATAAGTTCTGTCCCTCGTTTTCAAACAAGTGTAGACCTGTTAATACTTGTCCGATTGTTTACATTGTGGTGTCAGTTGATTAAGCGCTTTTCGGGTAATTACATATACCTCAGTTTGTATTGATCTCTCGAAGCATAACGATGGAGTGGGGCAAGGCAGAGAACCGTATTGCAGTGATAGCTTTACATAAGTGTAATCACAGTGCTAGTCAGATTTTTGAACTCTTACGCGGCCTTCAAATATCGCGTAAATTTGTGTCTAGGACCATTCAGCGGTACAATGAGACGTCCTCTGTTGATGACAGGCCAAGAAGCGGAAGTCCTCGTCAAGTAAGGACTCCAGCAGCCATCAAAGCCGTAAAAGCCAGGATTCAAAGGAATCCACTCCGGAAGCAGAAGATCCTATCCAGGGAAATGAAGATTCCTGTCCGGACGATGTCGCGCATCATTAAACAAGACCTAGGGCTAGGGGCTTACCGGAGACGTACGGGCCAGCGACTTACGGCCACCTTGCGACACATCAGGGCGACAAGATCCAAGAAGCTCTTGGAGAGGTACGCAGCTGGGGGATTCCGAAAGATTTTGTTCACGGATGAGAACATCTTCACCATAGAAGAAAAATTCAACCGACAAAATGACAAAGTGTATGCAAGGAGTTCACAGGAAGCTTCGGAGATCATTCCGAGAGTTGAGAGAGGCCACCACCCTGCGTCAGTCATGGTTTGGTGGGGGGTGTCCTACGAAGGGGTCACTCAGCTCCATTTCTGTAAACAGGGCGTGAAAACAAAAGCGGCAAACTATCAGAGCGACATACTGGATCCTATCGTCAAGCCTTTAAGTGGTACATTGTTTGCCAACCAACACTGGGTCTACCAGCAGGATTCCGCCCCCGCTCACAAGGCTAAGAGTACGCAGCGCTGGCTGGAAAGCAATGTGCCAGAGTTCATTGCTGCGGAAGATTGGCCCTCAGGGAGTCCGGACCTCAATCCTTTAGACTACAAGTTGTGGGACCTGCTAGAGCAGTTGGCCTGCTCCAAAGCCCACCGTAATATCGAGTCCCTGAAAGCGGATTTGATCCGATCAGCGGCAGCTATTCCTTTGGAAGCTGTGCGTGCAGTGATAGATGAGTGGCCCGCGAGATTGAAGCAGTGTGTGAAGGCCAAGGGGGGACATTTTGAATAAAACTGTTTGATTATGAATTCTAAAAATGTTGTCGAATAAATAATATCTTTCATATAAATATATCTTATCTTGTTTCATTTTTATCATGAGATTATCATGGGACAGAACTTATGGCACGACTACGTACAAGTATTCCGCTAAAATTTATTACGGTCTTACAACTTCTGATTTGCGCAAACTTGCATTTCATTTTGCGATAGCAAACAACATATCTGTTCCAGAAAATTGGAAGGTGAAAGAAATAGCTTCCAAGGATAGGTTATATGGATTTCTGAAGAGGCATCAAACTTTATCTGTCAGAACACCCGAAGCTACTAGTATGGGCAGAGCCACTGTGTTTAATCGCCATAATGTGTCGCAGTTTTCCAATAATCTTGGCAAGGTTTATGATAAATATAAATTCCAGCTTCAAGATGTCTATAATATGGACGAGACTGGACTTACCACGGTCCAAAGGCCCACAAAAATCATAGCAAAAAGGGGAACTAAGCAGGTAGGCGCTATCACTTCTGGAGAAAGGGGTCAACTTGTTACCTTGGCATTAGCGGTTAACGCAAACGGCAATTTCGTACCTCCATTCATAATATTTCCACGGAAAAAATTCAAGGATGTTATGGTAGCAAATGGGCCTCCTGGTTGTGTAGGTGCATCCCATTCCTCTGGGTGGATGACATGTGAAAATTTTTTGTTGTTTATGAAACATTTTGTCCAATTTGTCCGCTGTAGCAAATGGTCTTAGATAATCATGAATCACATTTATCTATCCCTGTGTTGAACTTTTGCAAAGTTAATGGAGTTGTTCTTTTAAGTTTCCCGCCCCACACATCTCACAAGCTGCAGCCCCTTGATCCTTAATCCTTGATCCCTTGATCGTGTTTGGCCCACTTAAAAGATATTTCAATAGTGCTGCAGATGCATGGTTAAGATCTAATCCAGGTAAAGTAATGAATATCTATGATATACCTACCGTTCTAAGAGATTCATTTTCCCTTGCTGTTACGCATTTTAATATACAAAAAGGATTTAAGGTGACTTGAATTTGGCCTTTCAACAGAGAAATATTTCAAGATGATGAATTCTTACCCTCAGAAGTAACAGACAGGCCAAAGCCAGAAAATATTAACACAGCAATGGAAATAAGTCCTGAATCAGAATTTAATAGGGAAAACCAAAGAACCCCACAACCTTCTAAGAGTTAAGCTTGCAACTTATCGTTAGATAAATCTGTTGATTTACTATCTACTGGTACTCATATAACGCCCCGAGAATTAAAACCTTACCCAAAAGCCATGCCAAGAAAATCAAAAGTAGGTCGGAAGAAAAGAGTTTCCGCAATTTTGAAAAAAAATGTGGGAGCAACTAAAAGAAACATATCAGGTGAATTAACAAGTGGGGCAAAGTCTAAATCTAAGAAACAGAGCGCTAAAAAGACCCTTAAAAAATAGATTCTACAAGCTCAGAAGAGGATGAAGAATCTGCATGTCTGATATGTTTAACTCCATTTTCACATTCTAGAAATGAAGAGTGGATCCAGTGCATTGTCTGTAAAGGGTGGGCGCATGTAGCTTGTGGCAAAGATATCGATTTTTATGTTTGTATTCACTGCTTGTCCGATAGTGATTAGTTTAACTTTCCTTTACAAGTTTCTTTAGGTTTTTGTTTTTACAAAAGTTTCATTTAATTTTTTTTATTTTACTTTATGTAATGTTCCGAATGTTTTTTGTGTTGCTAAATAAAGGTTCCTTTCATTTATCAAAACTGTTTTTTGAAGTTTTTGAGTTTTTTTTCTTGTATCATCTTACCCCTTAGACTGTAACAATTTGCCCTACAGAGGGGCAAGTTGTTATAGTTTACAAAGTTACTTGAACTTATAATTACCAAGTACAAAAAATTAAAAAAATTATAAAATAAAATTGATAATACATGTACAGATATATGTGGTACCTTTCTCCAATTTTAGTTTTCATATAAAAGAACAACTTTTGCCCAAATAAATAACTATATTAATTTTGTAACAACTTGCCCCCTTCTCCCCTACTTATTTTAAATAGTAATTTAGTACATAGCTTGCGATTGATTTGACCAAACTTTGTTGCTAAAATAACTTGTAACGCTTTATTACATAAATTAACCATGGTATATTCCACAGCAGAAAGAGTTGAAATTATCGAAATATTTTTCGGAAATAATCAGTGCGCTAATAGAACAGCAGACATATTTAATGAGCGACATGAGAACAGTAACGTGCATCGAAAATATGTTCTAGAACTTGTAGCTAAATTTCGGAAAACTGGGTCAGTCTCCAATAAAAAACGCAACATTGAAAATCTCATAAGGAACGAAGCAATAGGGTTTTACGACAAGTCTACGTAGATCCTACGTTAAGTAAACGCAAATTGGAGACTATGTATGGTGATAGGCGACGCACTGTCCAGCAGATACTAAAGGCCCATAATTTTCACCCGTGCAAAATTCACCTGGTACAAGAACTTAATGCAGACGATTTTGATCGGCGATTACAAGTTTGTGAAGATATGAGTGAACGAATTATAAACGATGAACTTTTTCTATTCAACACTTGCTTTTCGGATGAATGTTCCTTTTTCTTAAATGGCCTAGTAAATCGTCATAACTGCCGATATTGGTACGATTCTAATCCCAGAGTTTATCATGAGGTTCATACACAGCGGATACAAAAATTAAATGTTTGGGCTGGTATTTTTGACGATCATTTAGTTGGTCCTATTTTCTTACCCGGAAATTTGACCAGTGAAATGTATTTGGAATTACTGGAAGACGCCATAAATTCTGCATTAACAGTCATAATTGAAAATCAGAATGATCTGCGGTACACTGCGAATAGGTTGATGTTCCAACAGGATGGTGCCCCATCACATTACGCATTACATGTTCGACAATATTTAGATCAGACGTTTCCAGATAGATGGCTGGTAGAAGAGATGCCATTGAATGGCCCCCGAAATCGCCAGATTTATCATCTTTGGATTTGTTTATATGGGGTCATTTAAAAAGCAAAATCTATGCTACTCAGCCAACATCATAAGAAGACCTGTTACAAAGAATTGTGAATGAGTGCCTCCAAATTACTCTTCAAATATTGCAAAATGTGCGGCAACCTTTTGACCAAAATCTTTATTATTTTACCGTGTGCAGTATTTTTGTACCTTTTTCGGTTGCGTTAGGTTAATTTGAGTATTAACTATCAATTACAATAGAATTCGATTACATTCTGCAACTAGTTTTTTTATTTTTTAGACATACATGACCAGCTTCCTAAGATTGTTAAAAAAATACGGAAATCAACAATCTCAATGACTATCGGTTTTCAGCCCTGCATATATAGAGTCAAATTAGTTAGGCTTTATAGGTCCGCCATTATACTTTTTGAAGGATAACGGCTGATTATCAGTGGTGTAGAAGATATTTCTTAGGCGTCCTTATTTTACTACTGGGCATGTACTAGAGTAAGCATCTCAAGTTTGAGTACGCTACTTTGTAAAAACTTCGCTTTATGATGAATCATATTTTTTTACAACGACGCATTTGTACCGGAAGAAGCCTTAAGTCGCCACGGCTGCTATGAGGATTTCAAAGAAATTTTGTTAATCCGATTTTGGAACTGCTTAAGGTTAGTAGAACTGGAGCCTCC